AATAAGTACAGAAAGGTAAGAAAATAAGGAAAAATAATTACTCATCAGTAATTATACAACTTCTTATTCAATTATAAAACTATGCAACTTTAATAATTTTAACAACATGCAAACAACTTAATTAAACAACTATAGTCATTACAATATCAACTTAATGCAACTTAACAAATTTATAAACAACTTCAACAATATACAACATATTTAAAATTCATCTATCATGTCAACTTACACAATATAAACAGCATAAATCAACTTAAGCACCCAACAACTCAACTATTTCAACAAAAAAACACCATGCATAAAGCTTACCTAACTCTCCTAAAATTAAACAACCTACATTCTAGCTTCCCTCACCTGAAGATTGGCTCAAAATAGCCAAGAACTGAGAAGAAGCAGAAATTCTCTTTCCGAAGCTCAACCCTGGACTTCAATCTACCCAAAGCAAGCTTCCTAATTCAGAGTCCTTCTCTCTAAAACTTCTCTCTAAAAACCTTCATTTTCCTCAACTGCCCCCAACCTCTATTTATAAAAGTCTGAACTGGCCAGAACGGCCCATTCCAAATCCGGAACGGCCCGTTCTAGGCTCCTTCATCATGTATAAAATTCACATGCAAAATGACCCATTTTGAAACCAGAACGACCCGTTCTGGCACGTCTAGAATGGCCCATTCTCAAACCAGAATGACCCGTTCTGGCACGTCTAGAACGACCCATTCTCAAACTAGAACGGCCCGTTCTGGAGTTGAATTTGACTCACAATGACCATTTTGGAACAGCTCGTTCCAATCCAAGATTCGTAGGCCTATTTAGTAGTTTGGAACGGCCCATTCCAATCTGGGAACGACCCGTTCTGGGCTACTAAATCACCCTTGTTTTAGTAGTTTGGAACGGCCCGTTCCAATCTGGGAACGTCCCGTTCCAGTCTACTAACTACGTTACAGTCTCTGACTTGGTGACGCTGGGCATTGGATTGTGCGAAGCTAGAGCCCAATGTGATTAAGACAAATCTCTCTACTTAAGTGACACTGGGCACCAATGGAGAGACGTCAAACATAAGGAGAAAGAATTGTTTCTATCTGAAATGGGGTCGAGTGTGGGTTTAGTCACACCAGGCGTGATTGTCCTAGGGAATTTTTTATCTCATCCATGTCAGGCATGGGTTGAATGACGTTGGGTGTGGACGAGATAAAGAACTCCTTGTCTTAATGGCATTGGGCACATATTACTTTATGAAAACTTGTTTGCTTCATAAAATGGTGAACATGGATATGTTGGTTGAATCTATTGCATACTTTATGTTGATAAATGTTGATGATTCTATATTCATTGTTTTGGGGGTAATGCATGTTGATGAATAATTATTGATCTGTTGAGGCGATGATGTTGAGGGTGCTTAAGACATTTATGCATTAAGTTTTGTTGTGTTGATCGACTTAAGATTAGAGGAAAATGTGTTTTCGAAAGTTGGATATCCCATTGTATGTATATTGGTGTGGTGCTTTAGAAGTGTAGTTGTTGAAAAACCTTATTGAGTAGTTGACTCTTAAAATGGATAGTTAAGTCTCATATATGACTTTAGTTGATGCAATATATGGGCTAGGTCGAGGCATATCGATTATAAGTGACCACAATATAGGGACTAAGTCGAGTTATATTGATTAAAGTAGCCAATGTTGATTTGTATGTGGGCAAGATCAAGGCATACATGTATAAAGTGACCAACCGAGTAAGATACAAAGTTGGGTGCTTAATTCCTAACTAATATGGAAATAAACATGGGTCGTGGTATTCTTGAGGAAAACAGGGCTAGTGACGAATTAAACAATTCTGAAGAAAGAAGTTGACAATGCAGATTTGGGACGCCAAAACACAGTAAGTCAGACTACCACTTTGCCAACATAGAGATGTCTTGAGTCTAGAAGTGAGGGGTGGTTGATTATATGGGGGCCAAAGGATGGAAGTGAAATAAAATGTATTTTCCAAGTGCAAATCTGTTATATTATCATGGGCACAGGTACTGTGGGTTTGCAGCAAGCTACGTGGGAATTTTCCTTCATAAATATTAAAGTGTAAACCTTGGTTAATTGGTAATTTATACTAGTTTAAAGGTAAATTACCTATTAACCTACCTTAGGAAGGAAAAGGTACTTATGTAGGTTTGTTAAGTATACTGTATATGGGTTTAAGGTACCCCTTGTACCTAAGAAATATAATTATCTTTGCTGTCCAAAAAAAAAAATACTAGAAAGGCGTAGTATTTGGAGGGTCTTTAGTGAGCTAATTTCATAGGAAACTTAGTTATGCAAGCTAATATTGTGGTAGGCTCATACCCAAATTATTCTACCCTAACAAGAATACTAAACTTTCTAGTTTAAGTAGTGACATCTGAGAAACCATGGTATTAGGGATTGATATCCCAATTGACTGTTGATTTAGTAGGTTTATAGTTCGATAAGGTTGAGCCACTTAGACTACTTACCTTTTTGTAAGAGACCTGCATAGGTGAATGCGTGATGACACATGTAGTTGAGGTGTCATGCATATGATGTGTTGTTTTTGGTTGTGGTGTTGTTCATATGCTTGGTTGATTATGTTGTTGAATGACATTGATATGGTGAAATATAATTTTTTCATATGTTGATTAAGTTGCTTACCTTTGTGAGGTGTTGAATGTCATGTGGAGGTTTTTTGTTGTGATGCCAAAGTTATAGGCCATGAGGGGTATGTTGTGCAATCTATATGTTGTTGTTGGTAGTATAATAGTATTACTTCTATACTTGCTGTATGAATTATTCTTTTGTACACTGGCTTAACCTTGTTTATTTTCCTAATGGTTGAACAATGGTGATCATGTTCACATAAGAGTATAGTAGAGTTAGGTTGGAGGCTTTTAAAGTCTTGAGAGCCAGGTTGTTGCCAGTGTAACTTGGTGCTACTTTTGAAGGTGTTTTTTTTTTTTGTAGTAATAATAAATATATCATTTGATACATTAACAAAAATTATAATATACGTTAACTTAAATAAGTAAACAATTGTATAATTTTAAAATATTATATATATATATATTCAAATTTTAAAATTATTAAATTTTTAATAAAAAGACTAACATCGCATAATTATGATATTTGAGGGACTAAAATTGTTCAACTAAAAATCGAGAGACTAAAATCACACAATTGCAATCTTTTAAGGACTAAAATTACTCAAGTAAAATCTTGGGAACCAAAATTGCACAATTGTTATATTTGAGAGATAAAAATGCCATTAAGCCAAAATAATTTGTTACAATCAAACATTTTTGTTGAGAAAAAGAAGAATTATCCTTCATATTTTGAGTCATCCCACTTTGTTAATAATTTCCTCATTTTTGTGTGTGTTTTTATATGATATTTAGAAAGAACTTATAAATTTATTTAATTAACTCAAAATTAAATGGATTAAAAATAAACTTATTTAGTATATAAGTTCATTTTAAGATTTTTTAATATAAAATATTGATAGAATGGAAAGACATTCTCAATATAATCGAATAGGATGTCAATGGTATAATTAGACTTTTTAAAAAAAATTCTCTTTCTTTTTCTATCCTTGTTAATTTATTTTAATTTTTTTATATCATTTTTAATTTAAAAACAATTTTTCTTATGTGTTGTTCTCCCACTCTTATTATTAAATAAATATATCATTTTATAATAATTATTTTATTAATTTTATCTAATACTTTTAATTTAATTAATTAACTTATAAACTTTATTTTCTTTCGACCCCTAATATAGAGATTTCACTTATAAACTAGTTTTACTCGACAACTAAAAATGTTATTACTATTCTACTTTAATGGGACTTGGTGCTACATCATATAAGAGTACTCCTAGCATATTATATTTATATTTAGGAAATAAAATCAATCTTCCAAAGCGTGTATTGCATTGGAGAATGAAATTTGTCTATGTATGAAACCAATCATCTTGACTAGATACATTGAATACTTCACTTTTTCCATTTTTACCCATGCCATATAATTAAATATGTATGACTTAGTAATATACCCAAAGCCTTCTACTATTCCTTATTTATCTCTTTACTATTTAGTTAGTGTAGCAAATACAATTAAAGAATTAAAAAAGTAGCAATCAAAGTTATATATGGTATTTATTTTATTTTCTTAATATTAATCACATATTCAAGGCTTGATTACTATTTACAATGCAGAAATTTCTAGATGTGAATGTACCACATCATTACCATTATGATTTACATTTGAATCAAATCAACCGTCCATGTAGCATTGATTTGAGGACAGATGGGTGCCTGTAAAATTTTCACCAATAAATAAACCTTTTTTTTTTTTTTTTTTTGCAATTGCTTACAGGTTGGTCCATCAAGAAAATGCCGAAATTGGCTCAGACTTTGAATCCATAGGTGTCAAAAGGAAAACGAAAGGAAAATAATGTTTGTAATAAATTATTGTCTGAAAAGAGCTACAAGCCTTATCACATTACAAAGCATGAGTTGGTAAAGTGTGCTAGAAGACATCATCACAAAAACCATAATTAAGTTTCTTTATTAATATATAAATTAATTTAATACATATGCTTATACAAATTTATTTTAGATATTTATAATTCATTTTATAAATTACTTAAAATAATTTCTTACATATAAATTTTTAATATATTTTTATCTTTACTAATTTATTTCAAATATTTTTTTTTTATAATTTTAAAATCATTTTTTTATTCTATCTTTCTTTTACTCTTGTTATATAAAAATCATTTTCATTATTTTATATTTATCATTTATGGACTAAATCATCAATTAATCTTATTAAACACATTTAATTCAATCATCTAATTTATAAACTTTTAACTTTTCAAATCCTAATTCATAACTTACAAAATTTTAATTAATTTGTAAATTTTCATCTGACTTTAGTTTTACCGGAAACACCCACAAATAAATTACTCATCCCTGAACCACTTTCCTAATAGATAAATTACAGCATAAAAGGTGTCTTCATATAGCACTTCATTATAAATAGAAAAGGTGTGTGCATAGCTTTCTTCATCACATTGTGATAGTAAGCACTATAGAGAAAGGACATTCTTCATTCATCTATGGCTACCCTCATTGCTCCCACCAACCACTCTCCCCAAGAAGATGCTGAAGCTCTCAGAAAGTCTTTTGAAGGTGCCATCATCATCATCATCATCATCCCCTTTGTTGCTTGGATCATATATATTCACGATCTTATATTCGCTCTAGTGAAAATCTATGACTAATTTGCAATCTTGATTAACCATGTCATTTCAGTTTAAACTCAAAAAAGTACTTTTTTTAACTAAGGGAAATCTGTAAGAGTTATGAATCTGATGTAGTTCTATATATCTATAAGATGGGTCTCTAGAATGATTGTGTTCAATTGATTTTCGACTTTGTAGGATGGGGAACTGATGAGAAAGGTATCATAGTGATATTGGGTCATAGAACTGTTTATCAGAGGCAGCAAATCAGAAGAGCTTATGAGGAAATTTACCAGGAGGATCTTGTGAAACGCCTAGAGTCTGAGATCAAAGGAGACTTTGAGGTGCGATGATCAGTGTGATAGTGTTGTTCTTTTCTATGTGATTTTTTTAGATTATTGTGTGGTGATGAAGTTGAAACTGTGGGTTAATTGTACTGAACAGAAAGCTGTGTACCGATGGATACTAGAACCTGCAGATCGTGATGCTGTTTTGGCCAATGTTGCCATCAAGAGTGGCAAAAACTACAATATCATTGTGGAAATCGCCACTATCCTCTCCCCAGAAGAGCTTTTTGCTGTGAGACGCGCTTATCTCCACCGCTACAAGCACTCCTTGGAAGAAGATGTGGCAGCACATACCTCTGGCCACATACGCCAGGCAAGTCCTTCTCCATCTAGCACATCTTTGGTTCACTTTAGTTTCAAACAACAATAGTCTTTTTTTGACTAAAATAAATTTAAGAGTGAGTGAATGCTAAGTAGCAAGATCAGATGTGAATTTGCTTTATAGTGTTTTGGAGTTTTTCAATTAGACATGTGGAGACAAATGTTTGATCCAATGTAGTTATGTGAATTTGCTTCATACTTGTGATCTGAGTGTTTTTTGGTTGATCTTGAGCAGCTTTTAGTGGGGCTGGTGACCTCATTCAGGTATGTTGGTGAAGAGATCAATCCAAAACTGGCTCAAAATGAGGCTGAAATTCTTCATGACGCTGTGAAAGAGAAGAAGGGTAGTTATGAAGAGGCCATTAGGATCCTGACTACAAGGAGCAAGACACAACTTATAGCAACTTTCAACCGCTACAGGGAGATCCATGGCACTTCCATCTCTAAGGTACAAAAAAAGGATATACCACACCCTTTTGTCTCCTTTCCTCAGATCACCAAAAAAATAAACATAGTTCTCTTTAGATGCCATTCATAAGAGAAAAAGTAGTTTACATGTTTTATACATCATCTAATATTTTGATCCTTTTCATGTTTGCAGAAACTGGTGGATGAAGGATCTGATGAGTTTCAGAAGGCATTGTACACTACCATCCGTTCCATCAATGATCATATTAAGTACTATGAAAAGGTATGAACTCACCTTTTTTTGTTTTATCCATAGGAATTCCAACTTGATACCAAAGAGTTTACAACACTCACGTACTCTCTTCAATCAACTGAGCTAGAACTCACATTTTTCTCATAGCACTATACAATCTCATTATATTTTGATCAATGAAATTTTGGTTGCACTACTATAATAGTTCAATCCACTTCATAAATTCGACCCTTTAGGTGCTCCTATTAAGATTTGAATTTTGTTGGGGTGTCTGCATGATATGATTTACCTTGAGAATTTTTCAACTATATAGGTGGTGCGTAATGCAATCAAGAAGGTTGGAACTGATGAGGATGCACTGACCCGTGTGATTGTGAGCCGGGCTGAGAAGGACCTGAAGTTGATCTCAGATGTTTACTACAAGAGAAACAGTGTTCTTCTTGAGCATGCTGTGGCAAAGGAAATCTCAGGGGACTACAAGAAGTTCCTTCTCACTCTGTTGGGGAAAGAAGAATAAATGTTTTCCTCTTGAGGGCATTTGTGATTATGAGTTTAGAACACCATGTTATACTTGTGTTTAATGGTGTTATCTGTGTTGGTTTTCCTTGAGTCTGTTTTCAGTTTTCCTTGCTCTTTCCTTTCCATATATTTTCTGCTTGAGAGCTTGAGTTCTATCTAAATATATTAAGTAATATGATAGCTGTTTTGTAGCTATAACTGATGAACAGACTCAAAAATAAAAAAGATATCTCAGTGCCCATTTGATTTCATAAATTTGTTTAAACAATATTGAGACATTTGTCTAATTTAATGTTGTGTTTGAACTAGTAAACAATAGAAATGTGAATAAGGTGTTGGGAATTGATTCCTGGTATAGAATAACCTTACCCTCAATATATTTCATCATATATTAATGCAGGAATCTCGAGTATAAGAATAAATAATACATGTATGATACCGGAAAGTTTTATGCTATGTTGATTGAACATGTGTGTGGGAAATGTTGTAAAATAATTTATAAATGTTTCATTGTTTAAAATCTTGTACTATGATAATGTATGTCTCCTAAGTCCAAAACTACAACATAACAACTCTAGAATGTAACTTAAGAATCAGAGGTAAATTGCTTTTTCTCATTGTTACGATGCACACAAGCAACTTGGACCAAAAGTGATACTCAACACATTGATATGTTTAACATTAGTTTGAGCATAAAGCATTTGGGATTATTATGAAAGCATCCAAAGCATAAACAGCTAAAGATGTAAATCTTTATCTTAAGCCATCTTAGGAATCTCAGACTAAGCCTCTAAAATTCTGCCACGAAGTCATTTCTATGCTCCTAGAAAGGATTACATTTTGATGCTATAAATATTCATTTGGTATGTTAGTGCTATGCTCACGGGAAGCACATTCACTTGTCCCCGAGGGACTCATTGTGGGTCCCACAAATGGAGTAGGCATATTCACTGTTTCAAAGGTTGTTGATGCATGGGACTGTGCAAGTTTTGAAAAATTTAAACAAAATTGAATTCATCCAATTAATTGTTTTTAATAAAGTGAATTGGTTTCGACTTTTTAAAAAATAGATAAGGTATATTTTAGTTGAATCAGTTTAGCATGATTCAATTGTTCACTTAAAAAAAATTAAATTAAACTGAACTAATCTATTTTGAATTGATTAATCAAATAATTTTTGTAAAGTGGATTAGTCAATTTTTAAAAAAAAAAATGAATTGAATTTTATAATTTGAATTATATCAGTTTTAGATAGTTTGAAATCGATTTGGATTTGTTTTTGGGACCCTTGTCAAACAAGAATTACCCACTCTCACAACATTAGGTTTTATGGTTTTGTACTTTGTAATATCCCTTACGATTGTTGTAGAGAATATGCCATCACAAAAAACTACTATAATAAGCCAAACAAGGAAGGTCTGGGTGCAAAACTACAAATGAAATAAACAAAGAAAACGTCTCTGCAAGACTTCAAAACGCAAAAGAATCGAATCAAACAAATTTAAGCATAAAGTACAATAATTGGTACTCTACAATATAGCCTCTTGGATCCAACAAAACACTTCTAAAACTTTAAGATATGGTTGAATGAGTATTTTTTTATTTATAATTTATAAACAGGACATTGTCACTATATTTTTTTTTCAAAATTTTGTATAAAATATTTAAATATATATTTCTTTTTTAATTCCTGAAATTAAGAGAGTTTTAATACTTAGTCAATTTCTCTCGTAAATATTTGTCTTTGACTTTTATTTTGACCTTGTATCATGGGTAACTAATGTAGGATTAATTTCATATTTTATTTTGGCGGTGTATTTTGTAATTAGAGAGGTGTATTTTGTAGATGAAAGATGCAACTAGTGTGGACTTGTGTAAGGCCAGTTGAGTGGTGTGCACTTGGTACTTATTTGCACCCCCTCTTGTGCTACACACTCCCCACTAAGTCACCTTTTATGCCTTATCCAACTTCTCATGTGACTACTATTTCACTGTTAAACTATCAAAATAATTTATAATAACATGTTATTCATTATTATTTTGTTCTATTTTATTGTTAAATCTTTTGCAAAACTTCACTTTCTTGTTAAATATGCAGTAAACAATTTTTTTTTTAAAGAGATGAACCTTATGTTTAAGGGATAAAATGGAGCAATTCTAAATGTTGAAACCATGCACGACCGTGATTACTTGAAGAATGGTCGTGCTTTAAGAGGAAGCACACCTAGTTGAATGAAGCATGTCCATGCTTGCCATTATGCATAATTATGCTTCTCTTTTGGAGCATCTATGGTTAAGAAAACACATCCTTGTTATTAATGAGGCATGCCTGTGCTTACCATTAGTCTAAAAAGCACACCCTTAGCTATTAAGCATGACCATGCTTGTTGAGATGCCCTTGTTCAAATAAAGTTTTACTCAACAGATAAAGAAATTATTTTAATCTAGCTAAACACTTTATTTTCCATTAGCGCATAACTTGACCACCGAATTCGATTATAGTTTACAAAGAGTTATCTCTCTCTCAAGGTATATTATACGGACACGGCACGAGACTATCGTGTCTTTAAGTCTAACACTCTTTAAGAGTGGATACGCTATGTACACATTTCGGACACTTCGATAGACTGTGTCCAAATAAATTGGACACGTCTTTATCATGGACACTTATAAAATTGACATGTCTTCACATCGATGTATTATTTGATACGGGAATTCACGATTTTTTTAAATAATAAATCTTGATAAAAAAAATAGAAACAAAGAAATGATGATTTAAGATTTTTCTTTAAAAAAAAAGGAAGAAAAGGAGAATTTGATATTTTAAAAAAAATCTTGATAAAAATAGAAACAATGAAAGTAAGATTTGAGATTTTTTTTTTATAAATTTTTTTTGATAAAAATAGAAAGGAAGAGAAATATTTTCTCTCTTTACTTAACTTTCATGTAATAGAAAAGAAAAAATCTTAATAAAAATAAAAACAATGAAAGGAGGATTTGAGATTTAAAAAAAAATTATTGTTAAATATGATATTTTTTAATAATTTATTTTTAAGACTTAGTAGGTTATTGTTATATTAATATATAATATTTTTGTTATGTTATTGATATTATATATTATGTATATGTGGTGTCTACATGTTTTGTGTTTTTGATTTTGTCATAACCTTGTGTCCGTGTCGTGTTTCCTTATCATGTCTGAATCCGTGTTATATAGCTCTAAAGTTCAATATCTATATTGAATTTTAATGATTCTATCATTAAATTATTTTTTATTAAAAGATCAAATATACTAATTTTTAAAAAACATAAAATTATTTATTACTTTATTACATTATTTTAAATTGTTGTATATTAATAAAAATATATTATATGTTAACGTATATTTATATAACTAATATCATATAACTTTTAAATTTTTAAAAAATTTATAAACTGAATTTATACATAAAAATATATAAATTAATTTAATAATTAAATCATTAAAATTTAATATAATAATTAAATTATTTTGTAAAATAACCTTATTAAAATTTATTCATTGAATCCTTTATCTATATAATTTGTTGCTTTTCCATAACTTCCATGGCAGTATGTGTTCACACACTGAGTGTCTAGTGATTTTCCTTATATAGAAAAATCGATTTCTACCTGATACTTTTCCTTATTAGTGCATATGTACAAGTGGAAGGAGCATACATGTATTTATAAATATTACAAGATTTGTTAACAATTAAGGCCCAAGCAAATCTTCTTAATTAACTACTTGACATTAATGGACATTGTCAAATCATGGATAATTGACAACTTATATATCTATATAAATAAATTTAGGATCTTTGAAGGGAATTCATCCAAATTACCTGATTACTAGCAAGAACTATAGAATAAACATAACCCACCATGGCTACTCTGGTTGCTGCTCGAGATCATTCTCCACAGGAAGATGCAGAAGCTCTCTGGAAGGCTGTTAAGGGTTAGATTAATCCCACCTTTTTTTCAGCTTGATTGGAATATTAATATCTTCTAAATTTCATTCAACAAATCTTATGACAAAACTCTCACTATTTGATATGCATGTATAAGAGTCATGAATTGAAAAATAGTAATCTTATGTGACTTGTGACTGTGTGATATCTTTCAAATTAATCGAATTTCAAAACCTTTTGTAGGGTGGGGGACGGATGAAAAGAGCATAATAGAAATACTGGGTCATAGAAATGCTTACCAAAGGCAGCAAATTAGACAAGCATTCCAGGACATTCACCAAGAGGATCTCATCAAACGCCTTGAGTCTGAGCTAACTGGTGACTTTGAGGTATGCCATATACTTATATAGATGAATTAATAACTTAAGATTATACAAATAAATAAATAATAATGGAGATTATTTTATTTGGTATTCACTTTTATCTTTTCTATTTTATTTTTATTAATTAACTGGTCTGACCTATTTAAGGTCTAATCTATAAAAATAAAATTTTATACGAGTTGGACAAATTCAATTTGCAAAATAAATGAACTTTTTTTTAAATTCATATCCAACTTGTCAAAATCCATATAAATAAACATCCCGATTCGCGGTCTAAATAATAATTTTAAAAATATGTTTCTAAAATAAAAATTCATAGAATTAAAAAAATTCCTTTTATAAAGAGTTATTATGTAATACAAATATATAAAAGTTTGACTTTTTTTTCCATATTTATACACAGAGAATATATCAAATAAGAACTATTCTTATTATAAAAAAAATAAATTTATAAATTAATACAGACAATTTGATCATATTTGAACGATAAAAATATATTAAAAAGAAAATAAAAAAGTGTATGGTTTTTTTGAGGTTTGATATGTTATCATTAACTAATTTTTAATCTTAATCATTTATGAATAATTTTATAAATTAATTAAATTAATTTAATCATTTCTCATTAGAAAAATGATTATGCACTAATAATGTAAAATAGTTTTATATTGTCATTTAATCATAAATCACTATATATGTATGATAAATTTTAACTATTACAATAACAATTTCAGTGATTTATGATTAATTGATAGTATAAAATTATTTTATATCGTTAGTACATAAATATTATACACTTAAAAAAAACATGTACGTTTTCGTTATATATTTCATATTTACACAAAAATAGTTTTTGAACACTCAAACTATTATGTAAATATTCATTGTTAGAGAACATGTTTAGGAAAGTTCAAATCATGTAAAAGTTGATATACATGAGTATAAATACAATACCACGATTGGATTGATTAAATTTATATTCAATAAGAAAATATTAAAATAGTAAATTGACAAATTTTGACATTTGGTTTCAATGATTCTCACTCTTTCTCTCTGAGAAAGAGAGAAGGAAAGAGCAAAGCAATGTAAGTTTGTTACATAGATGTATGTATTAATGAATTGAGTGGTTGTGGGGGCATGAACAGAGAGCTGTATACCGGTGGATATTTGAACCTGCAGAACGTTATGCTGTGTTGGCCAATGTTGCCATAAAAAATGCTAACAAAGACTACCATGTGATTGTGGAAATTGCATGTGTGCTTCAACCTGAAGAGCTTTTGGGTGTGAGACGAGCCTACCACAATCGCTACAACCATTCCTTGGAAGAAGATGTGGCTGTTCACACCACTGGCCTTCTTCGTCAGGCAAGTCATTCTCCCTAGTCATTATTATATCTTTCTGTACAGAAAAAAAAATTATGAATAGTTAACATTTGCTTCAATTTTATTAATTAATTATATTTAAACCTTTTCTATTGAAAAATTACGCTTACCTCTTATTTTTATCATTTTCAAAAGTTTTATGTGTGTATTTTTTTCCTTGTCTCTACTCTCAAAGTGAGCAGTATCACTTATGTTTGTTCTTTTTGTCTATAAATATTTATATATATATATATATATATATATATGTTATTATAAATATAATATATATAAGTATAAATAGTTAAATATTTATATATATATATATTAGTGACAAATAGTATATTACATGTGTTCTTACATTAACTTTTTTATTTTTATTTTATAGTTATCTATTAAAGAAATTAAATATTTTTCTCATAAAAAATTAAAGAGAAATGTATAGTGTAATTTTTACATTCAAAAATAGTTTGTATATATGTTAAGTGTCGTCTGATAAAATTATTGACATGCTTTGAGGTGTACTATTTCATGATTTGAGTCTAAGGTTAATTTGATGATTTGACTTTTAAGCAGCTTTTGGTTGGACTGGTAAGCTCATTTAGGTATAGGGGTGATGAGATCAATCTAAGATTGGCAAAATCTGAAGCTAACATTCTTCAAGAAGCTATCAAAGACAAGAAAGGTAATCGTGAAGAAATTATCAGGATCCTCAGCACAAGGAGCAAGACCCAACTTGTGGCAACTTTCAATAGCTACAAAGATGAAAGAGGAATTTCTATTAGCAAGGTACCACAAGAGAAAATAGAGAAAAATAATAATAGAAAGGAAAAGCCTCTACTTTTGCTTTTCTTATCACTGTCAAATCCCAATCTTTTTAAAATGTTATATTTCATTCTTATTTTTCAATAGTTCCTCTCTAAAATGAGTAATTTCAAACAACAAAAAAGAGACTACGAAATAATAATAATAATAATAATAATAATAATAATAATAAATAAATAAATAAATAAATAAATAATAAAAAAACGAAAATTGAAATCACTTTTCTTGCAGAAACTGTTGGAGGAAACATCTGATGACTTTGATAAGGCTGTGCATGTTGCCATTCATTGCATCAATGATCACAAGAAGTATTATGAAAAGGTGAGCACTAGTTAGCTTTTTATAACACATGCCATTCATTTCTAACATATTATAATAGTATATGTGCTATTAGTAGAAATGTAGAATATTTCTTTGATAGAATAACACCAAACTAAAACATTTATGTTGAAAGAATTAACTTTAAATTTCCATTATGTAGGTTTTGCGTAGTGCGATAAAAGGAGTTGGAACGAAAGAGGATGAACTAACTCGGGTGTTTGTCACAAGGGCTGAGAAGGATCTAAAGGACATCAAAGAGTTATATTATAAGAAAAATAGTGTGCACCTTGAGGATGCAGTCGCCAAGGAAGTCTCGAGACACTACAAGAAATTTCTCCTCACTTTGTTGGGAAAATAAAAGCTTAAAAAAAAAAAAAAAGACTTGCCAAGAGCATGTTTGCAGTGGTTTTGTATGAATCATAGTGTTTCTAAAGTCGCCATCTTATTGTTAGAATCAATATAGAAAATAAATTAAGAGTGGTTATTATGAGTTAATATGTGTTATGATTAGTATTATTTTGTAACAACAAAATAATTGAGATGTTATTGTTATGATGTCAGTTAAGCATGTTAATAAAAGGTGATGTAAAGGTTCAGGGTTACTATGGTATAATTAGAGTACCAATTCATGCAACTGAATTGTGAGAATAGCAATATAATTTATAGTCTCCTTTCTAATTATTTTATAAAAGTGGTACTAGAGATTAGGTTCTCAAAATTGAGAAAAACATAATGACTTGAGAGTTACACTTAATGAGAGTATGAGAGATGGCAAAAAAAATGACTTGAATTTGTTTCGATTCCCTCGTCATATCAATGAGAATTATGATAATTAGTATTTACGTATGAAGATCTTGCTAGGTTGCTAAGATGCTTGGGAAGTTGTGGAAACCAATGAAAAAAGACTTTTAAAATTAGTTATTTTTTAATTTTTAAAATTGTTGTTTAACCAATTATAAAATAATTAATTTAAAAGATCTAATTTTATTTTTTTTTAAAAAATAATTTATAGACTCGAATTTTATTATACCAAAATATGTAACTTACTAAAATATTGTTTTAAAATTTAAGTGAATATACATGAACAAACCCTTTATAATTTAATTAAATTTATTTCATTTCTGAATTTTTTAAATAAAGTAAAATAGAATTTTAATACATTTGCATCTTAAAATGGTGCATTGCATTTTGCAATTAATTTACAACATATTTCCATGTCCAAAAAAACAAGAATAAAGGCTTGACACAAGTAACGTAACAATAAGCACAATTACAGATAATTATCTAATTGTAATATATACATTAGGTGCCTAGACAACCTATACTATCTCATGAAGTTGCTAATTGTAATGCCAAATCAATTGAGAAAGAGAACTATCGAGTTATAGCCATCACAATATAGCAGGAAGAAGAAAAAAAAAAAAGCAATGTCCGTGAAGATCATATTTACTACATCTATGACAATGATGTTATAGTTAGAATGACCATACACTACATTAGAAGTGTTCGTACATAACATAATTAATGTTAAGACATTTTTTTAAGCTATGTTGTACTTAACCAGGGGGCTTCCTTTGCACGTTCAACAAAAGGAAGAACATCTACCACGTTATGTACAATGCAAATGGTTAGAATATTTCAATAATAGAATAATGCTAACTATAGTTGGATGTTGAAATTGGCCTTTGTAAGAGTTTAATCACTACTACAAGACACGTTTTCTATATCGATTTTGTGAAGTCATCTACATCGGTTCTAAAACCGATGTAGAATAAAACAATATAAAAAATATATAGATTTCTACATCGATTCTAAGAACCGATGTAGATTAGGACATAAATCTACATCGGTTCTGCTAAAAATTGATGTAGATTTATGTCCTAATCTACATCGATTTTAAGTGAACTGATGTAAAGTTATATCCTCATCTACATTGGTTTATAGTTGAACCGATGTAGATTTATATTTTTTTTGTTGAAAAAAATTATTTTTTTAGGTTTTTTCTTATTTAACCTATAAATACATATAATTCCCAAGCATATATTTGAAAAAGCGTGGAAGTGCTACAACAACATAATTATTATTAAAAATGAACAAAAATACAAAGTGTGTGGATATCAAACCAAAACCACTAACAAATGAAAAAAGATAAAATACACTTGTATAAAAAAAAATAAACTAATCTATCACCAAGCATATCAAATCAACTAGAAAAACCGACCTCTAATCACCTCGGAAAACATAAAACAGAAATGAATGTTACAAAACAAATTCAATTGAACATGCTACCAAATACTCCAGCCTGATCATTAAGTGTAGTAGAAAAATGTGCAATTAAAATAGGAGCAACATCTAAACATGCAGAAAAGTAGCACTAGATCAACTAGTTCTTCATCCAATCAGCCAAGGCCCATGTTAAACCTGTAGCAGTACAACACCAAATTAGCCAAAAATAGAAACTAATTTATCATGCATGTAAAACTTACTTTTTATCAAGCATGGTTCCAAGAGATATAAAAAAAAAATGTTACATAAATTGTTGTAAAGTTTTTTTATAAAGAAGTGGGATATTAATTAGTACATGTCTCGTTAATATTTCTTCAGGCTTTCATCACTTACGCAAAGGTTTCTAAATCCTAGAATTTCATAGCTCTATCAGCAAAACCTGTAAAATAGTTTTTGAATTTAATGCAGCCCCGACACAAGAGTGTGTTAATTTGGATTACATGAGTTTACATTACATGATTTTAAGGATTGCGATTATCTAATTTAGGCTATGATACATGCTAAAATTTTCACACAAACTTAATACAAAAGTGAATGTGTATTAGACTCAACTTGTATTAAAAAAATAACATGTATTGTTGGTTATTTTCATGCTTTTATAGAGTGAAGAAGACACCATAGATGATCTAATGGAACTTGTGCAACAACTAGTTATTTATATCAAGTGCCACCATTTTTGCTTTAACCTATTCAGTGGTGGGATTCTGATGCCCGCACTTAGTGCCATAATCTGAACTTATCTAAACCATAAAGATTACAACCCCGTGTGCATATATATAATACCCTGATTTAATAATTTAATGCCATAACACGTGTGCATATATTACAACCCATGTGCATATATATAAACTTAGTTACATGCTAATATATTAGCATTCTTTTGTAAGTGTATCTAACCTTTTAGATATAAGAAAATTTTTCAAAAAAACACACACACGCGTACAAAGTGACTAGTAACTAACTGGTTTATTTTCCCTGAATCTAATTGTTGCTTATCCACCATTTGGTTTAAAGTTTTCAAACTATGTAAAGAAAAATTTGATTGCTGCTCTTCTTACCAATAGGTTTTGGGATTTGATGTCTTGATGATAGACTCCAATCACATGATGCAAGTAATTTAAACCACGACATATCTACAAGAGAGTTTTAGCAAGATCAATCAATAATAGAACAAAAGTAACCAACTCAAAACAAATAACTAAATAATATAAGCATGATCAAGGAAATTTAAAACCAAAATTGAAGAAAAAGGGCAATAAATAAAAAATTTCTAGATTACCTTGTACATATACACTTGCACATAAATGATAGGGATATCATGGTGCATCTTGATATAGTGCATTGAAAGATCTTTCCAAAATTTCCTGAACAATAATCTCCAACCATATGATAAAATTGAAAGAATAGTTCATAATTTGGTACTATCCTAACTCTAGCCTGGGACAGAAATAATGGGTACTAGTACAAAAAAAAATCCAAAAATTAGCTTGTTCAATTCCATTATTAGAATAATGTCAGAAAGCACATGTTGTTAAATCAAAGAACAGATCAAAGAAAGAATCCCATACAGGTACTGCAGATGTTGGGAAGCTACTTTGAATTAGTTTTAGTGTTGGGTACAACGAAATTCTTTTCTTTTAATCTTAATTAACATGTGTCATTACTCAACAGCAAAACTTTCTTTTTTTCTTCTTTCAATTTCATCCAAAAGAAAAGAACAAAAGGAGGACTTACAAGCAAATCACATGATTGTTGGAATCACAGGTAACATGAAACCAAGTACAGGGATTAACCAGAGTTGGGTCCCAACTTTGCAACAAATTGTTGGGATCAGAAAGCGTTGAAACTCTGTAAATAGTTTTAGGTACATACTCCAAAACAAGGTTAAGGTACAACTCATGCTTATCAACCACTAAATAGAAATAGTGATTTAGTTTGAGAACATTAGTATAGTCAATAATACACCTAGGAGTCAAGCACCCAAATTCTTTTATAAGTATTAGAATAAAAATGAACATATAACCTATGTTTATACATTTTCCTATAATGAGAATAGTTATAAAGTTTTGTCTAGGTTTGCACACATTCCTCACCTTGTGCGAGAAGCTAGAATCGGCGGGGCGCGAAACGAGAAGGGCACACAAGGTAGAGATCGGATCGATGTAGATGTATTTATAATTATTTACAAAATTGCCACCGCACATTCAAAACGACATTGATCCCACAAAAAATGATATAAAATGCCACCGCATTCGATTTTTACATTGATTTTACCTAAACTGATGACGATGTTGAACAGTCACTTTCTAGTAGTTTTTTTGCAATACTTGGTGCAAATATATAGTTGGTGCAAACAATAATTTACAAAGATTATGAAGCCATAACCAATGCAATATTAATGTGAAATTAATTCATCATATTCATGATTTATTTGTGTTGCTAGAAGTTAATTATTCAATTTATTTCAAAATTTCAAACCAAAGACAGTTATCTACTATACAACAATATTTAAGATCCTTATCTATCATATTTGTTAAAACTCAAAAGCAAAAGAAACTAAGGATATAACAAGTTATTATGGAGCCAGAAATAGCAAAAAAAACATATTGAACACAAATCACAATCCCCTCCCTTTTCCTAAAGAAAAATTAGTACACAACTTTAATTTCCATTTTTTGATAAACATGTATAAAAAGTCAACTTTATTTCTCATTTGAATACCAATAAAAGAAATGAGACATAGATTACATGCTTTGTAGTCATCATTTAGCCATTAAAGGAAATAGAGTTATGCGCTAAAATGAAAAGAGTCGTGAAATCAAGTGAATAACTAATTTACTACTAGATATGATAGGTCATATAATCTTTATTTAGACTTGTAAAATAATGACATTGTTTAATTAGGTCCTAAAACATTCAATATTTGAATTCCTTTTGGGTTGACATATGCCTTGACAAAACTACAAGAAAATATAGATAAATTGGTATTAAACGTAAGTGCAATGGGCCTAGGCTTCTTATGCATATGCAAGTGACACATAATATTGGAAGACAGGTCAAACTATAGATGATGGTAAATGATGGCGTTGTCAA